ATTGTTCGGCATGGACTCTAGCGTTTTCAAATATCTTAGCGTAAGTGAGAGCCGTGGGATGAATATCTACTGCCTCTTTCTTCAGGAAGTTTCTGGGCAGGTTTGGCATCCATCCTTTCTCAAGAATAGCAGGTGCTTTTCCTGTGGTAGAGTGTATGCTAGTGCTATAAGCTAGTTCAAGTATAGGTAATAGTGAAACCCAGTCATGGGTATACCCATCATTGTCTTTGAATTCTAGTCCATAAGCACAAAATCTTCTCACCATGTCTTCCAGTGTTTGTATCATTCTCTCTGCTAGGCCATCAGTTTGCGGGTGGTAAGCGGTGGAAAAGGACAACTTGGTTCCCAACATACTATGCAGTCCTGTCCAGAATTCTGAAGTGAATTTAGGGTCTCTGTCTGAGATGATTATCCTGGGTATGCCAGTCCTTGGCATGACTCTGTTCCAGAAAAGGACGGCAGTGTCCATAGCAGAATCATCTTTAAAGCAAGGTATAAATATTGGTGATTTAGAATATCTGTCCACTATTACTAGACATGCATTAAAGCTGGCTGCACCTCCTGGGGATAGAGATGTTACCCAGTCCATATTCACAATGTCCCAAGGTTTGGATGGTTCTTGGATCTTCATAAGCAAACCAAACCTTTTTCCTGTAGCTTTATTTGCTTTCTGGCACCTGTCACATGACATACAATATTCCGAGGTGTCTTTTCTCCAATTTTGCCACCAGGCGGTGTCTTCAACTTTCTCCAGAGTCCTGTCCTCTGAGAAATGGCCAGAATATACACTGTCATGGCACTCGTGTAGAACTACATTGATACTATCCTTGTCAGCAAGAACCAAGACTGAGTTATGTTTTTCCCTGTGATATATAAGACCATCAAACAGGGAGAATCTTCCTTCTGCATAGGATGTCTTCCAAGGTTCTTGTAATGAATTTTTTAGCGCTGAATCTTTGTTATCCTTTGTGAGTATCTGTGATAAGATGACAGTATTACTATTCTTCTGATAACCCTCCTTTACAGTCTCAAAGAATTCATCTTTGAAGGAAGAAACGTGTATGCCCATGATAGGGAATCTATCATCATCCTTGTCTTCTGGATCATAAGCAGGGTTGCTGGGGTCATTTGGCAAAGCCCATCTGCTTAAACCATCAGCATTCTTGTGTATATTCCCATCTCTGTGTTCTATTTCCATGTTGGCTCTGTATTCTTGTATTGCAATTTGCCACCTGAGAATATGCCTATTGGGGGTCTTCATGTTGAGTAATGATCTCAATGCAGTGCAATCTGTTACAACTTTAAAGGAACTGCCATCCAGGTAATAGTGCAACTTCTCTACTGCCCACACTAGACACAGGCACTCTAATTGGCTAGCTCCATGCCTTGTTTCACTGTCCTTGAGCTGTCTGGAAATGAAAACAATTGGTCCTTCTTTCTTTATTCCATCAATTTTTTGGACCTGATGGAGGGCTGCGCCTAGTCCTGTCATACTGGCATCTACATATAAGATGAAGGGGTACTTCCAGTCAGGAAAAAGGAGCAAGGGAGCTGAAGTTAGTTTCTCTCTGAGGAGGTTATATGCTGCAAGTCTCCTATGGGTCATTTCAAACACAACTTCAATTTTTGTCAGTTCTGTAAGTGGTCTAGCAATGTCTGCAAAATGCTCAATGTGCTGTCTGTAATATCCAGCAAAACCTAAAAATGATTGGACCTCTTTCTTGCAATTTGGGATTGGTTTTTGCAAAACAGCTGCCACCTTATTCTGGTCTATTCCTATTGCTATTCCAGACACTACATGACCTAAAGCTTTAATCCGGTTGAAACCAAAATTACATTTTTTCAAGGAGATTTTCATGTTCATCTTAATGACAATCTGTAAAATCCTACTGATTCTTATCAAGTGTTCTTCCCAAGTATTTGACATTATGATGATATCATCAATGTAAATGATGACCCACTTTTCGTCTAATTCTCTTCTGAACTCTATGTCCATCATCCTTTGGAAATGAGAGGGGGCATTTTTGATCCCAAAGGGCATTCTCAAATATTCATAGATGCCTTTATGCAGAATAATTCTCAACAAGTGTCTGGAGTCTTCGGCTATCACATTTTGATGGAAACCTTTCAATACATCCATACTAGTCAAGAATTTAGCTCTGGCTAGATTGTTCAGGGTCTCACTGATCTTTGGTATAGGATACCTGTCTGCTGCTGTGTAAGAATTCAAGGATCTGAAGTCTCCTACCATCCTGGATTTTCCATTGTGCCAGGCTATAATCACAGGAGTAGTGATTTCCACAACTTCATTATGGCCAACTTTCCTTAATACATTCAATCTGACTAACTCTTCTATGTGTTCCTCCAGTGCTTCTCTGCTTTTGGGGCTAGCAGGATAAGGGGCTTTGCGCAGGAGAGGGGGGTAAGGTCTTTCAGTGGTCAAAGTCAAGTGGACTTCATGACCTTTGATGGCACCCAGAGGCTGATCTGTGTTAGCAAAAGCAAGTTTATTTGAATATAGTACTTCAAATAATTTTTCTTTCTGCTCACTGGATAACTGCTCACTTATCTTTGCATCAGATAATTCTTCAGATATAAATTTCTGGAGCATGGGGTCTGTTTTCTTGACTGAGGAGATATCAGTAGAAGGAGGCATCTTGTCAGTTGCATGGGATTTAAAACTGAATTTCTTTTTCTTATTATCATTTCCTATGGTAAAGAATCTTTCTTTGCTATTGGTGATGTCAAAACCATACAGAGACATGTAATCATTTCCTAGGATGAGATAATTGATTCTAGCATTTCTCATGACTACAAATTCAGCTATTATTCTCATGGATCCTTTAGTATGGGGGAATATAAGAGGTATCTCTACTATGCCCAAGGGTTTTAATTGGTCACTACAACTATGGAATCTAGCGTGGTTAATAGGCATGAGGTCATCTTTCCACAAGGGTTTAATGTGATCTAGGAGGGAGTGGCTAATAATGGAGCAGGAAGCACCGCTATCTAGCAAACATGAGAACTCTTTGCCATCAATCAAGACACTGGTCAGGTTTGATTTTCCAATGAGGTGGCCCTTTCCTTTGTCAGGTTTACATCTCATTAGTCTAGCATCCTCTATGTGGGAACTTTGGCAGTTCCTATCCCAAGTCTGGGGTTGATGGGACTCAGCTTGTATCTCAGCTATTGAGAACTCATTTGTCAATTCACACTCAACTGCACATTCATCAAAGTGAAAGTTAATCAAGGGGTCTGAGGTACCATCATTATCCAAGGCCAGGATCATATGGTTGTTCTCTGGACTATCTTCCTCTTTCTCTGATTGGCTTCCTAGGTCATTCTTGTCCTCATCCTCATCTGCTGAATTCATCTCAATGTTATTAATTCTGCTTCTCTTTTTAGGGCATTCCCTGGAGTAGTGACCTGGTTGTTTACAGAAATGACAAACATCTTTTCCTTTGGTTGCTGCTGGAGTGGTAGTAGGGGTTTTCTTTTGATCTGTCTCAGCTTTATTATCTTCATGCTTGTTTGGCTGATTTCCATTCCTCCAAGAGGGTTTAGTATTCAGTGATTGGTTGCTATACCTAGGTCTGTATTGGCCCATTGCTCTGTCCAGAACTTCTTCTATAATAATAACCATCTCCTCAAAGTTCATGTCTTCATCTGCTTTTTTATATCTACTCTTAACAGCATGTTCCAAGGAACCAGGGCATTGCTTGAGTATTTTTTCACAGACAAGATAGTCACTGAGTTCTGGTTGGTAAGCTCTGAGTCTTTCCCTTTGAGTATTGAACCACTTGTGTACTTTCCTGTTTTCTACTGAGAAATGGTCCTTTTCAAAATCCATCCTCATTTTCCACTTCCAGTTGTGAGTGCCAAATTTATTTCTGATGGTGTTCTTCCACCAGGCCCAAGATTTTCTTCCATGTCTATCCCTAATGCCAATGTACCAATTTTTAGCAGTATCCGTAAGAAGTGTTGTCAGTCTGCTGACTATCATATCATCAGTCATTTGGTAGTCTTGAATAAACACTTCTATGTTCTGCAGCCATAGTTCATGGTTATATGGTAATTCTCCTGAGAAAGTTGTCCATTCACTGGTTTTAGGTATGCCTTTCCATAGCTGGTTCCTTACCTCAATGCTCACTTCTCCATGATCAATGAAGGGAAAATCTTTAAGCCATTGTGGGGAATCTGATTTTTCTGTGGGCTTTTCCTCAACTTCAGCCATGAATGGTTTCTTTACTTGTTCTCTATTGGTTACAGGGGCAGTGGTTCTAGGAACAGCAGGTTGGAAAAAATTTTCAGGTTCAAGGGGGGGCTGGTCTATGAACTGCTCAGCCTGAGTATTCAGAAAAGGGTTGTTGTATTGAAGATGGGGAGGAGAATCTTTGTACTCTGGCTCAATAATAGATTCCAATTTATTGTGTACTAGTTGAGTAGTATTGTATGCGTCTCCTAGCCTTCTTTTCAATTGCTCAAACCTGTTATTTTCATTGATGTTCAAATCATTAACTTGGTTTGACACAGACATAATTTTCCCAGATAAATTGCTTTCAATTTTCTTCAATTTATCTAACAACTCCTCTCTCTCAGCATGGTGTAGAGTGTCCCTTACATAGAGCACATCTTGGAGCCCTTCAGTTTTTTTGTTAAAATGACTCTTTATTACCTCCATGTCACATGAGCATTGGCAACTTCCATTAGTCTGAAATTTTTTCTCACTCAAAGATTCAACAACTTTGTTCACAACAGAGGGGACTATTTCATTTCTTACTAAAGCTGATATTGAATTTTTCATGGAATTGTTAAAGTTATTCAAGCAAGATTCTAACAAAGAGTTTGGGATAGATTCCATAGTACCAGATAATTCAGAAAGGAAAATAGAGAATAAATCCTTCAACCTATCTTCAATCAGCAAGGGAACGTCTTGGGTCACGTCGTTGTTGATATTCCTCAGGAAAAATTCTTTCGCCGACGGGTTTGAGAGGTGCTCGAGATCTAAGTTGAGCGGTGATTCTATTGGTGATTCGGCGCTGGGAGTTCTTCTCGTTGAGGGGGTAGTCCTGTAAATACATTTTAAAATTTGTTCAGGTGAGATTAGAGAGAAAGTAACTTATCTCCTGCTTTTGAGAATATAAATGAACTGTATAATATTGAATGTAGACAAAATATGATAAGACAATAAGAAACAAGCTCAACAGAGGAAGTAAACATCATTCAGAAGGATGAGGTTGAGATGGGCTCTGAACATGATGCTGATGATGAGTCTGATAATGTTGATTTAGATCGGCCGGATGAATGATGATGATTTGGTATAAAGAGAAGGATGGTGGCGGTGCTATAGTCCTCGCGATCTGGTCTAGCCTCGATGGAAGATGAGGATAAAACGAGGAGGAAACAACGACAGTGTTGATGGGACCATAGCAGGGACTAGAATAAAATCAATTATAAGAGGATCGAGTAGCTTTGTTCAGAGCAACAGTGCGGATGATGTGATACCGTTAGTTGATGGAAGATGAGGATAGAACGAGGAGGAAACAAAAGCAACGGTGTCGGTGGGAAAACAGCATCGACCAGACACCATTCCGATTACTGGAAGCGATCTCAAGAGGGTCGAGTATGATGATGTCGAGAGTAACGGTGATATATGGAGACTGTTATGAAGATGACCAGTTGATGCAACAAGCTGGCTGAGGAGGCTATCCAGCGACGACGATGAGTCCATTGTGACGACAAGAAGGTTGTATGACCGATGTGAGATTGATAGCGATAGTCGAGCGCAGAGATTGTCAGTTTGATAAAGATGTGAACGATCGAGAAAAAAAATCAAACTAATAAGACTTTGATTGAACAGCTGGCCATAGTTTTTCTGGCTGAGGAGGCCAGCCAACAATGTCGATGAGACCATTGTGACAACTAGAAGGCCACCCCGACGACTAGTAGTAGATACCATCCCGATGACAAGAAGCGATTAACACATGATGTTGATTAGGCAGCTTGTGAACCCGGGGCGTATGAGAGAGCTGAGCAGCAGTAGCGGCAGCTGCAAAATGACCGACGGCGGGTCTAAATCCAGACAACGAGACGGCAAGGACAATGGATTGGAAGAGATTGTCGAGGAGAGCGCGTTTGTGTTTCTTGCGTCCGATGAACCGCAAGATCCAACTAAGAAGAGCCAGACAGCCAGGGTGGGATAGAAGTAGCTCTGCGGGAAGGCCTGGACGAGTTGGTTGGACCATTGACCCAAGCTGAGTAGGATTGGCATCCCGTGTGGACAAGTAGCTCCAGGAGCCCCACCAAGCCCATGATGGAGGTTGTGGTGGTACTGGCCATAGAATAGGAATTCGGAAAGATTGAGTAGATTTGGAGCTGGTCGAAAGCGTGGGGTATCCTGATCAATAATAGCAGCGAGTGAGAACAAACTGATGGGTGTTTTAATTGATGAGAAGGAAGATAGAGGAACATAAGTGGATGACAGTCATCGGAAATTTGGCAAGAGAAATGAGGATTTGATCCGGAAGGACTGCTGATCTTGAGAGAGTAAACCGGTGGGTGTTCCAATTTGATGATAAGGAAGATGTATGGATTGATGATTGATGCTAAGACTTCAAGGAAGGTAACCGGTGGATGTTCCGATAGATAATAGTTTGTTACCAATGAATTTTGGATGCGTCAATTGAGGAAGTAAGAGGATGATGAAGGGTAGTAATGATAACACAGAAGGAGCCAAGATAGTTTTTCTCAAAGAAGTTAGTTGGTGGGTGTTCCGATTGATGATAAGTATGAGAAACCGGAATCTTATATAAAGAAGATGGATGACCGGCGATAGAATGTGATTTATGAAAGAGTAAAACCCATTGATAATGGTACAGAAATCTACATGAATACCAATAAGGAAATGATGATGCCGAGTAAAGAGCAACTATACACCCCGGGTGCAGAAAAATCAAAGTTCGACGTCAAACAACCCTGGCTGGGCTGTTGACGTCAATCGTCAAGCTGTCACGGTTGATCTCCGTGTAGCACAAGACCGAACCGCCTGTACGCATGAGGAGACCGCCATCCCAACGGTCTGCCCCAGGGTGACACCCTCTGGGCGTCGCTAGCGACGGGGCGTCCCCATGCTGGCTAGGTGACAACCCAATCACGCCCAGACTTCCCTACCGCCCGCAGACGAGTCGATGGATTGAGCACAACCGGTCAACGGCGGATATACCGTCCCGCTACCGTGAGCACCATCACCTACAGCCTGGACTCGCCTCCGTCTTGGGGACTTTGCCGCTCCGGACCGACTCAAACACGGCCACTTTTCCGGTATCACTATTCCAAACGCATCCGGTCAGGTTAAATTCTTGTTTGGTCGCTCCTATTGATATTTCCAAAACAACCGGTTAGGTTAGAAACCTTGTATGCAGCTGGTACACCCAATCGCATTCCGATCATCCCCCAGGCTATCGTAAGGACCATCTGCCACCAAGTTGTCCTACGACCCCTTACACTCCCCCACCTTTCAGACAGACAGACAGGCTTTG